TGGTTACCAGAAAAACTGTGTTCAGAGCATCCAAACTGGTGGAGAGGATGTCTTGACGGACTCGTCAGTCTCCTAGAATGATAATCGCTGATTGGAAATTTCCTAGCTGCAAAGAAATATACTTCTAATTATCAACTTTGCTGCTAAGATCACTTAGTCACCAAGCTAGATTTCTTCTGTTTTTTGATTTTGAATGGAAGACAGGGAAGGTGTTTCAGATAAGGAACACAAGCTGTATGGTCATTGGAAATAGTATGTCTTAAAAAAAAAACAACAACAACAATCAAGGTAGCACAGCAGTTTTTTGAGAATTTTGTTGGCAAAAACCATCACTTAGAGCCTGGGTATCCTGAGCTAGTTCAGTTTCTGGACCTCAAGCTTGAGAACCAGGCTCTGCACTTAACAATTTAACACTATCTCTTGGAAACATCCCCATCACCTAAGGTTGGTGTTTAAATATGGCCAAGAGAGCTGTTTGGTTTGACCAATGTAATCAATAGGCTATTTTGGATAATTTAGCCAAGCTAAGCAATTTGGTCATCTCCTTATGGGTAAATGGCAGGTCAGCTGACATTTTGAGTATAAACAAAATAAATAGGTAGTATTCAAGTTTTTAACTTTTCTACCAGTTGGGATACAGAGCATTTGGGATGATGCTATTTGGTAAACTAGGACTTCTTCTGTGAGATTGTGGTGTGAACATGATTATGCTCAGGCCTGCAAGTGTTTCTGTGAAAAAGAAAATTTGAACTCTCCCTTCTTGTTTTCTTGGGACCAGATTCAGTTGGCAGCAACTGGCCTCAGGAATATACTGGAATCAGACATCCATTCACCTTACCACCTGGATTCTACCTTGTTAAGTCATTCTGAAATCGGAGAAGACCCCCTAAAATCTATACTAAAAACGTAGCCCCTTAAAGTTCCCTAGAAATGCTATCTGGGGTGCCACATGTGCTACCGGAATTTGGGGTGCCATATGATTTCACCACGGGCTTATTACTAAATCCCCAATATTAATAAGTCCAAGAGGGTTCTTGCTTAATATTTAGAGAAGAATTCTAAATACTGGCACAGATAAACGAGGCAGCATGGTACATTTTAGGCTTTTATTTAGTGTGAGAGGTATCTAGGAAACTGAAGGCTTCAGTTCAGGTACGAGAGAGGGGAAAGTCTGGAAACTAGGGTAGCACAATTAGGGGTCCATACCGAGCACCAGGAACCAGCCATGTGGAAGAACATCTAGGCCAGGAAGCCTAGAGCACATGGCCTGAAGGCCATGTGCCCTGGAGGCATGGGGCTACAGCAAGCCCCTCCTGGCAAGAGGCCAGGGACGAAGAGCAGGCTGGGCCACACCATGTCTTGGCTTTTAACCCATTTCCAAAGGGGAGTGGTTAATTAACCTGATTGGCTGGTGGGCACCCAGGTGTGGCCAGGTAGGGGAATGAGGCCACTTAGGGGCATAGTGAAGGCATCAGGTAGGGGCATGAGGTCACACAGGGGTGTGGTGAAGGTATGGTCTTCCAGTTCGCAAATCTAATCAATTTTAGCCTGTTTGCCTGCCTACATCAATTCCACCTTGTTAAGTAGTCCTCTCAATTACTATGTGTTGCCAAGACAGACAGTTAATTCAATGCAAATGATTACCCACGTAGGTCATGCTTTTGAATTTTTAGGCTGCTTTCTATAAAATGGTCAATGTAATTATTAGCTCTGAATAGCCTTTAATTTTTTTTCCCATTTGTTTTCATCCTGACATTCTTGTGCTCATTATATTAGAAACTAAAGAGAGACACAAAAATTAATCTGCAAAGACATATCAAGCATGGGTAATCTTCTTAAATAACCTGTTTTCAGGGATCCACCGGTCTGGAAAAGTCTCATTGCAATTAAGATAATGTGTCCCTGTGGCTGAGGGAGTTGAAGGAAGATTGAAGTGAAGTCTGTATGTGGCTGAATGGGTGTGAATGGTGAGTGTGGGTGTGTACATTGAGACTAGAATAATTGGAAATGGTAACAGTCAGAGAGATGGCTAGGGTGGAGGAAATTAAAATGCGTCTGTAAATGTAGACTACAAAGGAGGACATATATTTAATCATTCCATAGCCCTGTACCTCTAATCCCCATCTCTATTACCAGGACATCTATTATTTGTATTCGTTTTCCTCTTTGGAGTCTCATCTTTTTATGGGTGGGAGGTGAGAGGTATGAATCAAAGGTTTTTATAAGCCCTGTATCTTCTAACAGAGGAGAAAATCCTCTTAGTAACTTTTTTTTGACCCTGGTCCTTTAAAATTTACTGTGAAGTAATCTCACAGGAAACAATAGGTATTCATTAGAAAAAGAATCGACTGTGATTTACCTTTGTTTAATTTTGTTAGCCCAGCTGCACTTGTCCTGAAGAGCTACATAATTTATTCAAATGACCCAAAGCTTTTAAAGTCAATCTGCAGCAGAATAATTACCCCCCAGGCCCCAGGAGAGTGAATTTTTTTGTGCTGTACTGCTTCCCATAACTGACATTTATTTGCCGCTCAAGCGTTTTTACGTTGTTGGCTTAACTGGGAGTTCTTTGCTGAATCAATAATATACTGTATGTCTTGCTTTAAGTGGGGTCGATGTTATTGCTGTTCATTTTTCTCCCTTATTTCCTTGACACTATAACCTCTTTCTTTGATTTGTGAAAATTTTTACTCCTAAAATTGCGGAGAAACAAAGGTAAATGTCCTTTTAATCTTCTAGGAAATGTGTGCCTCTTTAGACTTTATTTACGTCAGAATTTCACTGTGATGAAGGACAAAAGCCCCACACAAGGTCCCCTGCTCCTCCGGGGTGTTCAAGGCTAGGTCTGCTGGAGGCAAGAGAGCCTGCTGTGTGTTCTCTTCTAACTCAGCTCTTGGCTCTTTCTTTGCAAGGGGCGTGAGAGTGGGCTAGGAATACAGCAGAGTGGGAATCGGACCCATCTTGACCACTCAGGAGGCTCTGTCCTGGAAAATTTCCCTGTATGTGGCAAAAACAAACATTTGGAATGGAGGGAGAAACCAGGCTTAAACAAAGAGTAAAACCAGTTGCCCTGTGCCCACTCGTTTGTTTCCCAAATGTCGGTTTCCCATCCTTTGGACAGTGCTTCAACCTGAACCTGTCTAGAGCATAGGAAACAAATATTTGGAGATTTAATAAAATGGTGCCTATGGAAACGGGAATGGTTTGTCAGTGTTCAAATTAGTGTACAGAAAGAAATGCGATGATGGCCTTTGGATCTTACCACCTTTTTCAGGCCATAGTAACCTCTAATTCCTGGTGTCATCACCTGTGTGCTCTGAGATTGACTTCAGTATCAGTGGAGAAACAGACAAATTTCCAAAGTCATTTAGTATGTCTCGTGTCATTTGTAGTTTTGCCTTCCGTGCCCCACACTCGCTTCTCCTTCCCTGTCCAGCTGAGCGCCTTACTTCCCCAGAGCTTGCCCTGCTCCTCGACGTGCAGCACACGTTGGCGCACTCTTACTGCTTCTCTGAAAAACGTGATCCACAGAAATAGTTGGAATCCGCTTAAGGGTTCTGCATTCTCTGATTTTCTGTGCTAAGTACAGAAAATTATCTTGTCACACATTTCTCCTTCCTATAGTCTCCATTTTTAGAAGAGAGTTAAGAAAAATATTTCCTGCTGCATAACAATCCTTCAAATTCTCATCCCCCTCTGGCACTTTTGTAATAGTTTATTAATGGACATCAGTGATTGTCTGTAAATGTCACATATATCTTTTTTCAGGACAAAAAGTAAGATTAAAGGACCAGCTGATGTCCTATAGTATAGAGATTAAGAGCTTGAGCTCTTCTGACATTAGTTGACTTCTATTTGAGTTCAAATGTCCTGCTTTAAAACCTGTGTGACCTCAGAAAAGTTATTTAAACCCTGTGAGCCTTAGTTTTCTGATTTGTACAATGAAGGTAATATGAATAGCTTATATTAGTATTAACCATGTACCAGGCATAATTTTAAGCCCTGTTCAATATACTAGTTCATTTAATCTTCATAACTTGATGATGTAGGTAATTAATATCAACCCCATTTCTCACGTAAGAAAACTGAGATGTGAGGAAGGAAGGTAACTTGGCCCTAGGTCATAGAAGTAATGATAGAGCTGGACATGGAAATTCAGGTAGTTGGATTTCAGAGACTTTGTGTTTACCAGTATGCTATATTACCTCTCCATTAATAAACTTTGGACTCTAAAGCAATTAGCACAGTGTTTGGCACATAGCATTATTTTCAGCTGGTATTGTTACTCCCATCACCTGTTCTTGTCTGGCCTCATTTTGTCTATTGCACTTGGTGTGAGAAGTTGATCACCCCCATTGTCCCAACAGCAGTGATCTAGGCTCATATAGGTACTCAATCCTTCAGCTTGTGCTCTTTGTAGTTAAAACACAAATTTGCCTATGAAAGAGGCACTAAGTATTAATATCTCTTTTCCATCACATGAGAATTACATCCTTCCTATCTGTAACCCCCCAAGCCACAAGCCAACAAAAGCTGCTTCAAGCAAGGGAGAAACTGTAGAAGTTATAGACTTCAAATAAAGATTGACCATAATTTAATAAATGGGTAACAATTTCAAAAAGTAATAAAATTTGTAAAAGATGTTGATGTAAAAGATGTTGATGGTTCCCATTTCTAAACTTATTTGAAGAATGACAATATCAGGGAAAAAAGAAAGAGAAAATTCTGCAAATAATTGCATTCTTCATTTAAAGTAAGCCACTGACTTAAAAATTCTCTAACACATTTGTGGAAACTTCATTTTTTGTTTGAGATTTATTTGAATGAGCTGTTATGATTGGAGACAGTGAGAATTTCAGATTAATGTTTTGCAGCCAAAAAAAAAAAAAGCCCCTCTGGAAAGCTGGCAAGTGTTCATAAGTCAGCCCTAGAATTATGTAGGTTGAAGGCTCCCAGTGGACAGACCGAACATATAAGAAGGAAACCAGAGATCTGGTGCTATTACGTCCCAGAGTCTAAAGGAACGAATAGGCACAGAATTCAAAGCATTCTTCAGGCTGATTTTGTAAGGTAAGTCTGAACAATTTATATACACTTAGAAAGTAGAACGTCCATTAGATGAAAATACTTTTTATGGATGAACTTTTCCTTTTTCTCAGTGTTTTAACACTGTCTTTTGCAAAACTCTTAAATTATCTAACTGCTGTTTCTCTTACAGGGGTGCATTTAGGATCTAGGCAAGCTGATTTATGATAACTGCTTTAAACTCCAAAAACCAGTAAGTATTCAGTAGGATTTATTTCTGAGTTTTTCATGTTAATCTGTTAGATCATATGAATAATGAGCATTAGACAGAAACGATAGTTTTGATGGTTATTAAGAGGTTCTTTGGTGGTTACATTTTAATTGGATACCTTATCCGTGTGTATTTGGAAGCATCTTAAGTAGTAGTCTTTCCCTTAGTGTCTTAGTCTTTAACTTTTTGTTTTAGAGTAATGTTGCTAGTAGAAAACCTCAAAAACCTGAATATTGAGTCATAACATTTGAAAGCAATGACTGTTTAGTTAGCAAAGGAAAAATTATAAGCCTATATCATGATTAATCCTTGTTGTTCAATCAAAACTACTTCTTGTCTCTAAAACATGTTTACCTGGTTTTTTTCTTATTCTTTCCCTAATTAAATCGAAACTGGGTTGTTCTTATGTTAAATAGACCACACTTAAATATCTTTATCTCAAATTAATATTCTCTATTAAAAGTAGAACAGAGGGCTCTTAGAAATATGCATATATTCTATAACATTTTAACTATATTATTATTGTAAAAACAATGAAAATAGGAGAACCAAACAGGTTTATAGTGAATAAAAACCAACTAGGATCCCCTATTCCAATATGTTCTTTTTCACATATTCTTTCAGTCTTTCATACACTTAGTTATTTTTCCATAGCTATTTTACTTATATTTTCCATAGCTATTCTGATTTGTATATAATTAGTTACTTAAGAAAAGCATTTCTCTGTGCAATAGCCGACAGCAGTGTGATTTCTAGGAGCTATACAGAATGAGATATATGTGCTTACGTGTTCGTGAATAACTTTTCTTTTTTCTGGATTCCTTCTTATTTATTTCACACATTTCCTGTCTTGACTCACCTTTTGAAATACTAATTTGCCTTCAAGCTTACAAAAACATGGTTAAAAAAAAAGATGGGCAACAGGTATTTTTGTTCAGAATTGTCAGTCCCTGAGGCTGAAATATCTGACGTCTTGCTACTACGGGGATTTTTTTTTTCTTCAGGAAGTTAAATCCATTCTTATTTCACAAGGTATGGTTCTAAATTTCTTCTGTAATTCTCCCCCCACCCCCCGCCCATTTGCTTTTGAAAAACTTTCAAAATTCGAAAGACTCAAGGATCTCCAAGGCTCTCTGTATGTTCTAAGAGTTCCATTTATTTCCCCCACAGAAGGTGTAGGAATTAGAAGCTGCTGACATTTCACTATGAAGGACAACTTCACCCTTGCCGCCATCAACAGAAACATTACCGGCAGTCTTCATCTGGGACTCATGAACTTCTTTGGCAACAATGAGTCTGCCTTGAACTGCTCATATAAGCCATCAGATAAGCAGTTAGATGCAATTCGCATTCTCTACTACTTTATTTTTGTGATTGGATCTCTTGTCAATGCTGTTGTGGTTACACTGTTTTGTTGTCAAAAGGGTCCTAAAAAGGTTTCCAGCATTTACATCTTCAATCTGGCCGTGGCTGACTTACTCCTTGTGGCTACTCTTCCTCTTTGGGCAACCTATTATTCTCACAGATACGACTGGCTCTTTGGACCTGTGATGTGCAAAGTGTTTGGGTCTTTTCTGACCCTGAACATGTTTGCAAGCATTTTTTTTATCACTTGCATGAGTGTTGATAGGTACCAATCAGTCATCTACCCCTTTCTGTCTCAAAGAAGAAATCCCTGGCAAGCATCTTATATAGTTCCCCTTGTGTGGTGTATGGCCTGTTTGTCCTCGTTGCCAACTTTTTATTTCCGAGATGTCAGAACCATTGACTACTTAGGAGTGAATGCTTGCATTATGGCTTTCCCTCCTGAGAAATATGCCCAGTGGTCGGTTGGGATAGCCCTAATGAAAAATATCCTTGGTTTTATTATCCCTTTAATATTCATAGCAACATGCTATTTTGGAATCAGAAAACACTTACTGAAGACCAATAGCTATGGGAAGAACAGAGTAACCCGTGACCAAGTCTTAAAGATGGCAGCTGCTGTTGTTCTGGCGTTCATCATTTGCTGGCTCCCCTTCCATGTTCTGACCTTCCTGGATGCTCTGACCTGGATGGGTGTCATTAATAGCTGTGAAGTTACAGCAGTCATTGACCTGGCACTTCCTTTTGCCATCCTCCTGGGATTCACCAACAGCTGCGTTAATCCCTTTCTGTATTGTTTTGTTGGAAACCGGTTCCAACAGAAGCTCCGCAGTGTGTTTAGGGTTCCAATTACTTGGCTCCAAGGCAAGAGAGAGAGTATGTCTTGCCGGAAAAGCAGCTCTCTCAGAGAAATGGAAACCTTTGTGTCCTAAACGAGAGAGCAGAATGCATGTAATGGACAGGGCTACTTGGTTTGAGGCCCATCTGGATTATCTTTAAATGGTGTTGGTAAAATAATATGTTTTCTGGCCTTCCTTTATCTTTTCTCACTCTTCTGGAACAGGAAACCAAATGTAACTGTAAGTGTTATCTTCTGGTGACTTTCAGGAATCGCCCATTGTTTTGTTGGTATATCAGTCTAGGCTTATCTTTGGAGAGACATATCTATAACTGACAAGCAACTGGTGATCTATCTCAAATTATAAGTAATGAGAAATTATGAATGATGATTTGGGGTTTCAGATTTCTCCTTGAAAAATTCTGGTATTTCCTAGTGGTATTTTATATCTGTTTTCATCAGGCTTTCCTTTTGAACCAGGGGCAGTCTTAACTTGTTGCATTATTTACAAGATTACATAGTAAGAGAGATGAACACTTCTAAATTGAGTATATTATAATAGATTAGGGGATTGAATTATTCAAGCTCTAAGCATAAGCTTTCTACTTTTTAAACATGATAAACTACTAATTTTACATTGTAGTTGAGCATAATTTTTAGTTAAGATACAGCTACATATTTACTAGTGCTAGGAAAATAGATTAAATTACACCTACTCCAACATTTTAGCTTATTTTTTGCAGTTATAAGAGTAAAACATATATTAACAGAATTGCAATAGTCAAATATTTGAGTACTCAGTTAAACTTTGAAGAAATACGTCTTTAAAACTTTCTGTTCATGTAAACTGTTGTGTAAGGATTTCTGTTTTCTCTGATTTTTTTAAAAACAGTGACTAAACACAGTGCATTGTTATAAAATGTAAAGGTCAATTTTTATATCCTTGACCTTTTGGATGTGGTACTTTGATATATAGTATGTTGACTTGATTTTTATTATTGATGTTTTGCTTTTGGGTCACTTCCCAAAATATCTGGATGGCTTCTTTAACTCTTTAGCTTGTAGTGAACCCTTAATCAGCATAGAAGAAGATTGTACCAGGATGGAATTTGGATACCCAGGGGGCATAGAGAGATCCAGCAAATGGCAAGTTGTTGTTAAGCAAGGAACCTGTACTGGCAGTGCAAAGTGGCTTTTAATACATAGACCATAGGGATAGTTGTGGCCTACATGTACTGATGCTGCTTGTTCCAGAATCTATAGGACTCTGTGGGGCTATTTTAAGCCAATTGCTGTCCTTAGATCTTGTCAACACTACTAGAACTCCTAAGTTAGAGGAGTACCTGAAACTGCCTGAGTTACCTAAATGTTGCTTGTATTAGAATATGAGTCCTAATTTTAAATGTCTGAGATTCTGTTCTGTACCAGTCCTGTATTATGCCAGATTCACCAGGAGTTTCCTAGACTAACGCTGACTTAGAGGTTACAACTGAAGGTTTAGTATCTTTGCCAGGTTCCAGGGCCATAGGGCAACTACTCCTCTCACACCACTTTCTGGCAGAGTCCTCATTTTGTGTAATCATATTATTTTCAATAAAAACAAATAGCTAAATGTATAATCAACTATTACTTCATGTTTTAAGTAATGTTGTAAGGAACTCATATAAATAAAATCTTTCATTAGAACATCATGCGTGCTTATTTAAAAAAAATAACTATTTCCAAGTATACATTCTTATCTTCTCTTGTATCTGTATTCTCTGTTCAATCTCCACTGATAAATCTTAGCTTCAGTTCCCATCTTTCCTCACCTGGTCTCTTGCCACACTCTTCTAGTTCCCCTATTGAGTATTCAGTCACAATTAACTATCAAGTCTGAGCTGAACTAATCTACCTCTCTTATCCTCATCTGCTGCCTTAGAAGATCTGACAGAACCAGTCTTGTTCTCAGTCATCCCTCCCTTGCACCCTAGGATGTAATGCCACAAAATGACTTACTACCTTTGAAAGTCTGCTGCTCTTTCAATGCTCTCTGATTTTGTTCAGCAACTCTTTGTCTTCCTGAACACCCCTTCAAATCATTCTTACCCCCAGGGCCTCTCTTCCAATCTATGGGCCATGTACTCAGCTTTCTACATTCAGCTCACGCCATTTCCTCAGCAAATAAGAATTATTGTAATAATTATATCAACTCCATGGAGTTCCCTCTATAAACGGAATTGCTCTTCTTGTCCATGGGATCTTACACTTGGCAACTGTTTCCATAATAGCCCAGTATTGGGCCCTGAATAGTTGTTCATGCAATGATTTATCCTGGCACTAAAAAGAACCCTGTTGGATATTATACAATGTCTGTTGTATCATAACACCACATGGTGCTGCGTATGTATGTGCAATTTTATGTTTCAGTTCAAATAAAAATTATTTAAAAAGAACCATCCGTTGAGCGAATAGTGCAAGAGTATGTGAATTCTGACCATAGGCATGCACAAGGGTATAAATGTCCTCCTTCCTCTTTGAACACATAAATTTCAGGTAAGCTTCTGAGATAGCAAATGAAATTTGTTTTTCTCATTTGGCTTCTTTTTAAGATATTACTTAATCCCCTTCCTTTTCCATGACCCTACATTTTTTCACTCCATTTAATATCATGCCCTGGAACCATACAACAACAACAACAATAGGTACTGTTATGTGAGCATTATGTGCTAGGTACTATTTTACATGCATTATCCCATTTTATTCTCACAGTGACTCATTCTCATTTCACATAAGGAAACTGAGGCACGAATGAGTACTGACTAATCTTTCTATTTGGCTCTACTGGATGAGCTGGTTAATCCTAATATCAAGTTTTAGTACCTGAAATCTGAGTCCTAGGTGACCAAGTAGCAATTTCAGGCAGTGTCATATACAGTGCTTTAATCTTCACCCCAAACCTCAGCATCACAAGAGCCTCTGGGCAGGTGGGGTATTTGTACCTATAAGAAAGAGAAAGGAAGCAAATGGATGAGCTTCCACTGATGTTTTCTTCTGCCTTTTTCTTGTGCTCCATGCTGTACCAATTACCTAAAGTATCCGCAATCCCCTGCTGTCCCCTCCATCGCATACGCAAATCAAGACAGATGCCTCAAACATTTTGTTTGAGGAAAAAACAGTGATAAGAATTTTAGGGAGAGTATGTAGGATTACTAGAGAAATGATTAATTTCTTGAAACTTGCAGAAGGATGCATGCATTTATTATGGAAAGACAACTGTTAACTATTTCCACAATTTCTAAGCCTCAAACATATCTACTAAATAGAACTTTTATAACAATCCCATTATTCCCCATCTTTTGTGGCCTGTATTCAAATGAGAAGACAGCCTGAAGGTAAGCATGTTCTATGTTGACTTTTTCTTTTTTCCTGCAGAGATCTGAGAGTGGGGAACTGTTTGGTGGCCTTATATATCAACAAAAGAAACCCCCAAGCTTGACAAACTGAATTGACACATGAGGTGGCTGAAGCAAGAAAGGGTTGAGGTAATAAAGAAAATTTAATACTTAGTTCTTTAAAAAGTTATCTATTTATTTTATTTGAGAGAGAGAGAGAGACAGAGAGAGAGAGAAGTCTCCCATCTGCTGGTTCAGTCTGCAAATGCCTGCAAACGTTGGAGCTAGGCAGGTCAAAGCCAGGAGCCCTGTACTCAATCCGAGTCTCCTACATGTGTGGCAGGAACCCAGGTATTTGAGCCATCATCTACTGCCTCCCAGGGTGCACATTAATAGAAGTGTTGGTAGAACTTGAACCCAGGCACTCTGATTGGGGTTGAGTGTCCCAAATGGCATCTTAAGTATTGCACCAAACACTTACTCTGAAATAATTATGTCTAAAATTAGATATAATTGATAAGTATTTCTTACTATAGAATCCATATTTACTCATTGCTGTAAAATGTAATGGTACAGATAACAATTACAGAGATAATCACCATTTAACAGCATGAGGTAAGATCATTATATAGATAGAAACAGACACTATATATATATATTTCAGGCTTTATTCATCTTTTTTATCTACTACGTATCAGATATACCCTTGATATACCCTTGATCACTCTGTGATACCTTTCTTTTAATATTTAAAGTATTTTGAGCCTAAACACCCTTGTGGTTGACTATAAGTTTTCTTTTTTCTTTTGTTTGGATCTCTGCTCCTATGATAAATCAAAAATCCTCAGGGCTTAATCAATCCAGCAGATCCTACCTGATGACAATTGTCCAGTGGGGGGAAAATGCTGGAAAATTGGCTATGTCCCATGGCCCATTATCTGCAGCTGTTGTTACTACATTGTTTAACAGTTGATCCATATGAGAACAGATGGATCCTTAGTGTAGTGTAGATTCCTGTGGGGTTAAATAGCTTTGGTGTGACCCATGCACAAGTTATCTGATAAGGGTAGATGATAAAGAAAAAGGAAGTCTCTTTGATGCATGCCACAGTAAACCTAGGCTCAAACTCCTCTTTCTGTGTTTCTACACCTCCAGGGTACCAGGAGCAATCAGCAGAAATACATTAGGACTTCTTCCTTAAATAAACTTCTCCTTTTTAGCTTGAGTCACATGTCAACCTTTTCCTTAGTAAAAATAAGTATACCTGATTAGGGAAGAGGGTGGGCAGTAGGGCTAATGTTGCTTCTTGATGACATCAGTAAGTGCCATCTCAGTGTATAAGATACACGACAATAACTGAACTTCCTGCTCAATTTTCTAACTTTCTTCTTAATTTTTCTCTGAACTAAAGTGCTCTAAAATTAATTCTATTAAGAATAAATAAGAAACAAAATAAATATCTAATTATTAAATTCATATTCTTTGTAGTTTTATACCTTAAGAAGTAGTACTGGACCAGCGCTGTGGTGTAGCAGGTAAAGCCGCTGCCTGCAGTGTCGACATCCCATGTGGGTGCCAGTTCGAGTCCTGGCTCCTCCACTTCTGATCCAGCTCCCCGCTGAAGGCCTGGGAAAGCAGTGGAAGATGACCAAAGTGCTTGGGCCCCTGCACCCATGTGGGAGATCCAGAAGAAGCTCCTGGCTCCTGGGTTTGGATCAGCTTTGGAAGACCTCTCTCTCTCCCTCTGCCTCTCTGTAACTCTGTCTCTCAAATAAATACATAAATCATTTTTTAAAAAAGAAGCAATACTATCATTGACATTCTTATAACTAATTTTTTTCTTATTTGACAGGTATAGTTATAGAGAGAGAGTGAAAGAGAGAGAAAGGTCTTCCTTCCATTGGTTCACTCCTCAAATTGCCGCTACGCCTGGCGCTGCACCGATCTGAAGCCAGGAGCCAGGTGCTTCTTCCTGGTCACCCATGTGGGTGCAGGGGCCCAAACACTTGGACCATCCTCCACTGCCCTCCTGGGCCACAGCAGAGAGCTGGACTGGAAGAGGAGCAACTGGGACTAGAACCCGGCAACCATATGGGATGCCGGCGCTGCAGGCAGAGGATTAACCAAGTGAGCCACGGCGCTGGCCCATAACTAAATTTTAATATGTACTTTTGTGCAGGTTTTTATTACATATTTCTAAAAGAGGAATTGCTAGACAAAAGGGTTATATTCTTTTTTTTAAAGATTTATTTATTTATTTATTAGAGAGGCAGAGTTACAGAGACAGAGGGAGAGACAGAGAGTGAAGTCTTCCATCTGCTGGTTCACTCCCCAAATGGCTGATGGCTGGAGCTGGGCAGATCCAAAGCCAGGAGCCAGGAGCTGCTTCTGGGTCTCCCATGTGGGTGCAGGGGCCCAAGCACTTGGACCACCTTCTGCTGCTTTCTCAGGCCTTTAACAGGGAGCTAGCTCGATCAGAAGTGATGCAACTGGGACTTGACCTGGCTTTACATGCTGCACCACAGCATAGGCATATTATTCTTTTTTAATCATTCACCATGTTGCCTGCCAGAAAGGATACATGAATTTACACTCAGACTAGATGTTCATTGCTCAAAATGCAAAAATTTAAAGTTTGTCTAAAATTTATGAATGATCTTCAAAAAGTTCATGGAAAGTGTATATTCTGAAAAAAATGTGGATTTCAAAAATTTTTGCATCAATATATACTTATATTTTAATTATATTATCCATAAACTTAAAATGTTTATTTATAAAAAGGGAACTAAGTTCATGTATTTCATATATACAGTTTTAAGAGCATAATAATATTTCTTACCTTATCCTCCCTCATTTCCACCCTCCCTCCTTTTTTTTTCTTTTAATTTTTACAATGACATGCTTTAGGTGGTATAGACATTTTAACAATATTAACTCTTGTAACCCATGAGCAAGGAATAGCTTTTGATTTTTTGTGTTTGATAATTTTTTTTCATCAGTGCTTCACAATTTTTATTGTAGATATCTTTCAGTTCTTTGGTTAAAGTTATTTCCAAATATTTTTCAGTGATACCAATATTGGTATTTAAAAATGCTACTTTTTTCGTGTGTTGATTTTGTATCCTGCAACTTTACTGAATTGGTTTATCAATTCTAACAGCTTTTTTTAATAAGATTTATTTATTTATTTGAAAGTCAGAGTTACACAGAGAGAAGAGAGGGAGGGAGGTAGGGAGGGAGT